TGCACAACTATAAATTGTATACAGTCTTAGGATTTTATATAGGCTAATGCGGTATCCACATCGCTCTTAAGACTCAGTTTTTTCATGAAAGTATGACGCAAGTTTAGCAAGCTTGTAAAATATATTTTTTGTTGGAGTAACAGCAATTTCCGATAGATAACCATCTACAATAACGTTCATTTATCACAAGTTCAAATAATGATGTCACCTCGGCAGTGACATAGGTAGTAGTTTATCACGCCTTTTTGAGTCATTAGTTCTGGCTATTAATAAATTAAGGCAATTGCTATATTGTGTTCTTGTGTGTATCGACCAAAAGCATAGAAGTACTAAAATCATGTAATATTTTCCAAATAGTTCCATGGTTCAGAAGGATAATAGTGGGCATTTATGAAACAATGAAACATAACGACATAATTGACTATAATTTTGGACTAAATTCAAATATAAAAAAACAAGCACAACTACGTGTCTACGTGTGGTTTAGTAGCAACAGATCACCTCGTGAAAGAGTTCGTCCAGGGAAGTAATGCCGCCTTATCTATTTTTGCCGCCAGAAAGTAATGTCACCGTTACTGCGTTTCAGTGTTGAAGGTTAAGGGTACTGGTGAAATTACAGGCATATGGGACTTTTCAACCTATGTCTCAAAGTGACGGACGCAGTAGCAGATCTTTGCGATTTAAAGCTCTAAGCGGCACTATAACTGCTATAAGACAGGCGTGTCGCTCAATACCAGGACTTTTTTGTCCTGTCACTTAGTACCATACAAAACACAATAAGAACTCATTAATATTATATACATATAAATTATATTATACATACATTATAGTTGATATTATAATTGTCACGTATAAATATTATTTTGTTCACCCTATTTTGGCTTTTATAGGTGAGATCTTTTTGCCGAAATAGTAAGTCCAGCTGCTAAATATACGCTACGTGGCAAAATAACCCTACATCTCATAATCAAAGTCTTCGAAGAGTGAGGAGTGTCATGGGCGTGTTTGTCTACAGTACGGAAACCACGACTCTTACCCAGAAATCCGCCGAAAAGTTCTGAGTCGCGCAGAGAGGCATGGAGAGAGCAACGCTCGGAATGACCAAAAAGTAACGCTTGGATCCGAAATAGGACCAAAGTTAAAGATGTCATGGTTGTCGTGGCGAAGAAAAATGGGCATGGGCGGGACACATTGCGAGAAAGGACGACACGCGCTGGACAAGGCGGGTATTTGAATGGAGACCCCGAGCGGATAGTCAGAGTGCGCGGCCGACCACCGCAGCGCTGGGTGGACGACGTCGGACGACACGGAAGTCAGGCACAAGATTGCCAAGAGTGGAAGAAGAGGGAAGAGTCCGACATTCAAGACTGGGTCAAATAAGGTCGCCATGATGATGATCATTGCGAAATATATTCATGAAAAGCTTGTTTACTTTCCATAAATCCGTAATTTTTAAACAATTAAACCACCAAATCACATGTCACGTTAGAAAACTTTCGAGCAACAATTAATATTACGGCGGCGGCGGCGCGGCGGTGTGCGCTGGGGAGACACGGCGGCGTCGTGCCGGCTGGGCGCCAACGTCTAGATCGTACTTGTATAGACCTTGGAATGTAGAGGAAGTCTATAATAGCCAATATCTAGAATTCTACTATTAACAAAACATACATTAAACAATAAATGTAAATACAGGGTGTATGTAACATGTAAATGTCAACCAGCCTTTAGCTGGTGATCAACGCCATAATGATATTTCATAAAGATAATTGAAAAATAAGGTTAAAAATATCATCTTGAGTGTGATCGATCGTTATTCGGTAAATAGAATGAAATTAAAAGAAGCAAACATTTTAGGTATAAGAATCTTATGAAGTTATCTGTCGCGTCCAGCTTCCAAGCATGACCAGTGTCCTACCTCCATGGATGACCAGCGTCCAGCCTCCATGGATCAGCGGACTGACAGGTTACAAAAACAGACTCACTAGGCTGACAGGAATTAAAAATTAGACCGACTATCTTTCGGACAAAAGACGATGATCGACTTTCCTTTGTTTTGACAAAGGACGGCGAGTGTAGTCCTGAAGAAAAACTATTAGATTCTGTAAAACGTCACTTCAATATCGATCTAACATTAAACATGTAAAATTTTGCATTAGCGAACTGAAAAGTGAGAAAATCATTACGTCAAATAATATAATATAAGAATGTTTTTTTAAGTACCGTAACAGCTCCAAATCTAAGCCTTTAGAAAATAATGTTTTTTAACCGACTTCAAAAAAAGGAGGAGGTTCTCAATTTGATTGTATGTTTCTTTTTTTATGTATGTTATGCGATAACTTGGCATTTGTGAATCCATTTTGATAATTCTTTTTTGTTGGAAAGAGGGTACCTCAGCAGTGGTCCCATTTAAATTTGAAGAAAATATTCCACCTCCAACGGTGGCGAACTAGGGGTATGAATGACTTTTGAGGACGGTTTCTTTAGTACTCTGTCCTGATTTATGATACAAAGTGATGTGAGGAACAGGTCCTGTGTCTGGTGGTAACCGACACGCCTGTCCTATGCTGCGCAGAGCTTAAGATCTGAAGGGCACTGCCACTGCACCCGTTACCCTGCGACATAAGTTTGAAAAGTCCTAGGTGTCCGTAACTGTGCTGTAGGCAACTGTTTTGGAGGCAATCAAAATAATTATGGTGTCCATTTAAAATAATGTAGCTTTTAAATGCTTAATTTAAAAGATTTAGATTTCCTGCGTGTTAGAAACAATTAAATCATAAACGACCTAAATATTTCTACTTAGGTCGTTGTTTTCATGATAAAATCTCATATGTTCAGAATTCGGTAATTTACTTATCACCCCTGTCGATTTGACCTTGCTTCGTCTTTAGGAATCAATAAAGTGGTATTTATTATGGGTATTGGCATATAATTATATGATAGATCCACCTATCCGTTATTGATTATTTAATTACTATTTGCTGTGTGCACGCTCTCCTGTGCGATAGCAACAACGACATCCCGAGGTGCGTATAGACCCGTGGGACACCGCATCGTTAAAACAGCTCCACACAATATATATTTTTTATTTTATTTTATTCTTAAATCACCTAACACTAGCCCTAAGATAATTTAGTACAAGAGTCCGAAATAAATATTATTATTATTATATTATCGACGATGGAAAGGTAAAACGTCTAACGTGCATTTTGAAAATATTACAGGAGAGCGATTTAAAGTAATTTTTTTAGGAAAAAAAAATATAATTCTAATTTTATTTGCTATATGGAAAACTAGAAAGTTTTAGCTTTTCACCGTCGCTATGATGTTTTACGACCATTGCATAATTTGTTTTTTGTGAAATTTACTACACTAGTTTTGTATAGGTAATTATGAATAGAAAGATCTAACACAAAGAAAAACTTTTTTGATCTGACAGGACACGAACCGCGTCTGTTATTATTTTAAATCTACTTTGTCTATTTCTAGAGTATTAGACAATTTACTTATCGCTAGGCTGGATATGACCTTGCTTCGACTTTCAAATCGATAAAATAGGATCATTTATTGTGGCTGTAGTCTTATGTATGATTCATATATTGTATGGTAGAATAACTTATTAGTTATTGATTATTTAATAATATAGCCTATCTAGATTTAAAATATAAGGGTGCGCATTAAACGGAAATTCACATTTATAGTTACAAATGTGTAAATTTTAACAGAGTAATTCAAGTGCGGTATACAATACCATTCAAAACTATCGTGTTGTATTTAAGAAAAAAATTGATCGCGGATTATTGTATTTTTTCCTTAACTCTGGATTTGTCTCATGTAAAAAACTCAGAGTAAATTTTGAGAGCCGTGGTAGACTGTGGTAGCTCGAGCATGAACATATGAATCGTAAGTCATGTTTTCGAATCGCTACTTACTCTTAGAGGATGGAAAAAAAATTTTAATTTATATATGTCAACATAACATGTCCTTTGGTTTCCATAGTCTAAGCTTTTACTACACGAAAACGTATACTATACTTTCACGGAATCTATCCCTAGCACGAATCTCTGACTCACGTTAATATCGAGTTAAGGTAAATGCTAGGTAGCTGCCCACCTGGATTTTGTATACCTCCTTACTATCTACTGTTGTCGATAAAAGTTCTCATTTTGCAATACAATATAATATGCGTTAACTAATTAATTAATTATTCTACAATTGAAAGGTCATTCAGCATACTCAGACGCGTAAAAACGTGGCTGATGTCAATTATATGGTCAACGATAGATTAAACAGGCTTTGTATACTCAGTGTACATTAAGAAAATTTGTTAACGCTATGGGCGATTCTTTCACAGAAGATGTCATAAACCGTTTTGCTGAAAATCCTCGAAAGTTACTTTTAAAATAGCTATGCTATATAATTAAAGACTTGAAATAGAAAATATCTATTTTAATTTCTTTATTTATTTGACTAGGTACCTATAAAGTATTTGCAGGATAACTTGCGGGTGTTTTCCGTATATACTTAATGTTTAACGTAGGTGTCTTCGTGTAGTGTGTAAGGCAAAACAAGCGCGCGGGACTCGGCTTGAAAAAATCTGATTTGCCATGCATAGGTCCTGGGTTCGATTCCCGGGCCGGGAGAAATATTTGTATGGCTATGGTTACTTTGGGTGTAATTTGTGGTTCTCTACGTGTGTGTCCATGTCACCCGCGACATAGGGTTTCCCTAGGGTGTGGGGTTGAAAAAAAAAAACTGAAAAATAGTTTTAGTATTAGAAATAACTACTCTTTATTGTATACATTAACATGTATTCGGGTTCAGTGCTCATGAAAGAACCCTGGATCCTGAATGCACTGAATGATAATCAGATACTCACATTAGTTTTAAAATCCCAGGAGTTACTTAAAATTTTTGAAGTGAATCGAGTCGTCGCCTATGAGTGTATTATTATTATTATTATTGAAGTTTTATTTTTCAAAATATTACTTTTTTAAACTCACCTGTAGCCATACACCCACTCTAATTTAAGCTTCTGCTGCGGTGGCGGTGCGACCTTCGCAGGGTCCAAGTTGTCCTGATCGCTAGGACCATAAAGGATGACTGGACGACCACGCAAGTACATCCGCATCGTACCATCTTCTTCATTGTACTGGCAGGTGTGGGTACTAAAGAAAACAATAAATTAAATTCGAAATCTCTTCATTTCAACGAGTTGAACTTCAGAGTCTCGTGTTTTCGTTGTTTATACAGGATTATACGTAAAATACTAACGACCTCGCATGACTATATTACTAACACCATAAGCTACAACTTTTGTTCCATAGCTTAATAAATTTGCAAAAAACAAGCTTTTTAATGTGTGTTATAATATGTGACACTTTTTCAATCCGTATTTTTAGCAACGCCTCCGTGCCGTCTTCATAAAAATAATTTTGGTGGTTGTTGCTTTCTTTTGCTACCGCAAAGAGTTAATCACCATTTAGAGCGGTCTATTTAAATATTTTTCACTTCTCATGCTCTTAAAGTTCGTATTTATGCAGGGTGTAGGCTACATAAAATAAAATAAACCATCACATTAAATATGTCCAATTGTTGTAATTTTACATTCAATTTTAATTAAATAATCGTTTATTTGTAATATTGCTGTTTAATTTCCACGCAATCGAAGTGAAAAGCAGAGTGTATAACTCGTTCATAAAACCCATTTTACCCTCGTCTGCGGCTCGGGTGGATATACTCGGCTCGGGTGGATATACTCGTCTCGGGTAAAATGACGCGTTTTATGCACTTGTTATACAATCTACTATTATTTTTGTACGAAAATAAAATTTGACGAATTATTAAAAATCTTGGAACAAAAGTTGTTGTTTATAATGATAGTACTATAGTCCTACGAGGTAGTCAGTATATTACAAATAACCCTGTATATACCAATTTTCCTGGAAAAATTAACTCCTAAACAACATTATAAGTAATAAACTAGTTCTTTTATTTGTTTCATTTCTACCATTTTATTAGTGAAATATTGGTTCTAATGTTTCCCAAAATTTCTTGAAAATGCACTTTGTAAAATCATTACCATAACAAGAAAAAAATTGCAAAGTATTATACGCAATTTATGATTAGCTAATCTATGCCCATGATTTAAGATTTCCCAATTAATAAACAATAAAAGTGTGACGTCACAACATATCCATAAACGTTGAAGTTTTGGTGTAAACGTAAACCGACTTAAATCACGAAGTTTTCACACAAATACATTTTTTTATGTTTTGTGGTTCATATCTAGGCGATAAACAAGGATGTACAAAAAAGGAAAAACTTTGCAAGCAACCGCTGTTACATTACAATCTTGATTTCAGTAAGCAAGCAAACGTATTCGTTTATCCAAGAAAAACCTTTATAATTACAGATATAAAAAAACCTAAGCATTGACGACGGATTTAGACGACTTTTAAACTATTGAGTAATTACCAAGACATGAAAAAATAGATTTGGTTCTTCCCAGGCATGACAATTGTGACGCCACACTTCCGTGATCTATTGCATTTTTTACAAGACCTAATTTGAATATAAAAAGCCGTTGCAAAAAAATAATTACACATTTAACAACATTAGTAATCAAGCTCGCTTCATTAAAAAAAATGTACAAAGTGGATTAGTTTTTGAATAGAAAAAATAGCGGTAAAGCAGTGTAAAGAAAAATAAAAGCTAGATTTATAATAAAAGTCTTAAAATTATTGCATCCATGACCAAAAATTTTTCAAAACTTTAAAAAAAGAACGAAAATTAAGCGCATGATGTTTAGAGTAAACACTAAAAAAAACCACGCAAACATAAAACCCAAGCGACTTACATCGAGGTGAATGACATAGCGGCCTTTGCAAAAGTGCAGCTCCAAATAAAAAAGAATAATAAGGCACCCACGCTCTAAGCGCCCAGACAACAGACTAGCCGATAAACAATCTAAAATAAAAATTATCCTGTTACAAAATACATAAGCACCAACCATTGATAAAAGGATTGTAAAATCAAACACAATCATAATGGCAATCTGTTTTCTAAACTATACCTTTCATCAGACATGATGATAAAAATAACTTTTTAATTTGTACTTTTTATTCCGAAAAAGGGCTTTACAACGCGAAACTTTAAAAACTTCTTTTCGAGGCACTGACTTCGATTTATACAGCCGGTAACCGAGGAAAACATTGGCAGACTGCGCGAGGAGAGGACGGCATCAACCGTGACCGAGTTGTAAAGTCGCGTCATCGTCGTTGCTACAGAGCGGTTACATTTTGTTTATTTTTCATTGCTTCTTTATTTAAAACCTCGACTTTATCTGTGGATGAAACTCTTCAATGAATAGTGTAAATAAGGATGAACGCATAATAATTTAGTTTCAAAAATGTTAGAAGCAAAATAGGTATTCTGAGTCATACATAATACCATCTTCAAGACCTTATGTTTCATGACATTCAGTGTAAGTGGCTCGCATTAAACGTAATCTTTGTACATTTAAACATAGCCGTTTTTGTCGTCAGTTCAATGTTGATTGTCCAGTAGTTTTTGTATTTGCTTACAATGTCAAGGTTGAGCACGTTGTGATATGATATGAATTTTCCTTCAACGATTTGTTTTAACGTTGTAACACTGCAGTAGGCCAAAATTTCGTGAACAATGGAATGAAAAGTACAGTTTTCCTTTTTACTTTGTAGCCAATTTTTTTCTATTGATGTACCTCAACAGAGTAGGTACATTGATTGTATTCAAAGAAGTTGTAGAGATCCCGTTTTGTAGAAAGAATTGTAGATCCATTCATCATTTTGACTTAGTTTCATTACTTGGGGTCTATTCAGTATGTATTCTACTTTAATTCGTCTCTATCACTCGACACATCTCGTTGTTTTTAAAGATTTTTTTTTATACTTTAAATAAACGTAATTATATATTTCTAACATTAATTTGTTACTAGAATGAATCCAAAAGTAAACACAGTACAGAAGAACACAACTAATAACAATAATAATGTTTTCCAGCCAACCTCACAAACAACTCGAGGCGGCTGGATTTTTGTGGCGTGTCGCTTGTACGATAGCAAGTTTCGTCCCCGAGTCCTTGAACCCGAAAACTCACACTTGACCAAATAATTGAGTATGCCATTATATTTTATTCAATTAAAAGATAGTTTTATTACTTTATTTATAGTTGTTTTGTTATGTGTAAACTTATTGTTACCTTTTAAATTAGGTCAACTAAAACCTCTGTACGAATGTCATATTAAATGTATGGGAGCGTTTGGATATTTCCAGTTTTAAGTTATTGAAGTCGATTTACTCATTAGGTAACGTACTTTCGCTATCAGTTTAAAGCTTTTTGATATCTCTTATGTTTACGGAATAATCACCTGGGCACACTTAACGATTTCATCCTGTATAGACGATACCTCGTCTCGATTTATCATCACGATAATCGTATCGATCCGTCCGAAATTAATTGTTAATGTAATAAACATACACAATCGATTCGTGTTGAATAGATACAATTACAAAAAAGTTTTGTAAACAGTATCGGACATGTAGCAGGACTTAGTGCTAATGAACAGGACAGAGCCTCAGCTTGTTGCATGCAATCATGCTACTTTTCAGGGTCCACTTTGATACATGGACCTTTTGCTGCCGGCAACTACCAGACTTTAGTTAGACATTATTTATTATTCTGATGAATATAGGAACGTATTATTATAGTTGCAAATGAAAAGTACACAACAAGTACAAACGGCACTGGGATAAGTTTCCATTTCTTAAAGAAATTTAATTTACTCAGTATTATTATCATAAAATTTCTTCGAAACATCTCTGTTGAAAAATTATTACATAAAAATAAACATTAAAAAGTTTATTCATAAAAACTGCGTGGATTAACTGAACAACTCATGTGGGTGTGTTACGCAATAAGGTTCATGTTTAGCGGCCACTATAGGTATTGTGTTAACGGTTGAACTCATTCGATTATGTTTATTGTGCATGTACATTAAAAAATGGTGTAATGAGCACTAAAATGTTGATCGATTTATTGATTTTTTTTTTAAAGTTAACGGAGTAAAAATAACATTCAAATAAGATTTTATTACGCTAAAAGCTGTGATAGCCTTGATGTGAGAACACTAAACTCCGTTTAAAAGTATTTAGGGTTTAATTTCTTTGAAGGGGCCTATGCCAACGACGTGATGAAACCTACACGTCGGTTCACAAACCTCTTAAAGTCATGTGAGCATGGTGGATTACGGCCTAAGGCCTCTGTTTAGATGGGATCCGTGCCTACAAAAATCAAAATTGACTTGACGATGATATTGCGCTATTTATTTTTTAAAGAGCTTAAGTTCTATACGGACCATCTTTTTGTTTTATGTAGATATAATCACACAGAATGGAAAATGAAAGTTACCGGAAATTGAGCCAATACAAGTTGTCTCATGCTGTCTCCCGCCTCTCCCACGTTTACTGTACCACTTCCAGAAAGTCTTTGAAGCTTTGCTTGCAACTATAGTTCATGTAGGTCATGTTTTTGCAATGTTACATTTCACAGAATTTTATGCATGAGGAAAAAGTATCACAACCGACAAATAGAAGCCTAGAAGCATAATGAGTCCAATTACATATTAATCTAGGCATTGTCGATTTTATTTGTATCAATAAGAAAATACTGCAACATTCAATAGTCAGTCTGCCTGTCGTCCGTGACCGTAGGACATGTGAAGGGCCCGAAACGTTGGTTTGTTTAAAAAAAAACATGGAAATTATATCAGAAAAAATAGTTTAATTCCTATGTGTAACAATCGAGAAAACCTAAGATCGATATTCAAGTACGTTATTCAGACAAAAATGTATTAAGTATGTCTATACTTTAATTGTTGCCATATTATGAAGTCTGTAGAATACTCAGCTTATGTAGGACTGCCTTAATAAGTCAGTAAGGCCGACTACGGTAATTTACTAAGATAAATGAGCTATATAGCTCGTATCTATAGTCTTGACAAGAATGTGTGATGTCCGTCCGCCTATACGTGCATTTGTTACGTAGGTTGTATAGCCTAAGAATAGAAAAGTCTGTAGGATGAGGAAAATAAATGACACTTATTGCACGTTATTTGTTTAAATAGTGCAATTAAAGTAAGTTTATTCTGTAATTATAAAGATCAAATTTAAGTAAATTTTTAGATAATAAAATTGTGTTTTTTCGGCTTTAAATTTGCAGTAAAATTTTCTGTCCTTAGCGTTCGAATCGGCCATATTGCCAGATCTAAGATTTTAATTTTTCTTCAATAGTTTTTGTGATAATCTTTCGCGGGAAAGCATAAGGAGACAATTTTTCGCAGGAAAGCGGACGGTGACCACTTTGAAATTTTAGAAAACAATCTTTAAATTTAATCGTGTATGTTTGATTTTTTTTTTTCAAACAACTAAAACGTGCAATGACTCTGATAGAGCCACGATGAGTTGTATTTGTCAGTTAAAAAAAGCATATATACCAAAAAAATAGTTACATTTCCAATAAGGTAAAAGTAGTTTCTTTTTAACCTTTCGGAATAAGAGACATTAAAAATGACATTCGAAGGTTACTTCTGTCGTCAAGTTTATCTGATTTGTTTTATAGTAATACATTAACAATAATTATATTTGTATAGCTTCTGTCCGAGAATACATAAGTAGACACTTTTACCATGTAAGCGGTAGTACCTCATATTTGTTCAAATTTGGGTAGAATGGAAAGCATTTATAATATGTCTTGTAGTACGTACATATACGCATATGCGTCAAATTATTTAGTATTATTAGTTTGTGAGTATTTCATAAAATATTTACTAATTTTGTAAGTTTTGAAAGCCTTATAGTAATTGTAATAGGTACCATCGTAGCGTAAAGTGAAACCAAAACCTTAGTGACGGACATATAAAAAATCTTAGTGACCAAGATATGACAGCACCAAAATTTGAAATCTCACCGAGTTAACTTTTGTTTTCAAATACCCTCGTACCAGCAAGCGTGTGGATGTGAAGCGGCACGTCTAAGGAAATTCTCAAAAATCCTATGAAAGCATTGCACCATCACCACGACCTTTTTATTTTACTAAATGACGACTTACCCATGTTTCAGAATAGGCCCGTTCTGAGACGGCTTAGAATATAAGTTTAACAACGACTTTGTGGTTGTAAATCTAAGAAACAAAAGCATTTATTAGAACTTAGAAAGAAATAATAGAGAAATAATGAAAAAAAAGATTGAAGTAACCATTAAGATATTCCTATGTATATTGCAATTTTTTAAAGAGTTCATGCAAAAATTTGACATTATTGAACAATTAAAATGACATAATTAATCAAAATAAATCTTAATTGTTGGCATTTGCGGATAGATGCCATTATCGGCAGCAAACTCCTAAAACTAAAATGCAGTGTTGAAATCATACTTGAGTGAAAAACGTGACCTTAACTCGAGTGAGAAAAGTTATATATCGTTTATTTTTCTTTACATATACAGGGTGAAAATTTGAGATGGGTCAGTAAGGGTAAAGTTCTTGCGATTTCTGACATTTCTAATACCCTTTATCAGATACTTTTGGTTCTTAGTAGAAACAGGATCGAGTGGCACGGAAAAAAAGTTTAGTGAAAATTGCCCTTTACTCTGTTGACTGTATAATTTTTTCAAAATATGTGAATGCAAAATTGATATATCTTCAATATAAATGGACAGTTTTCCAGGATCATTTTCCTGTAGCTGTAACGACTCGTCTCAAATTTCCACCTTGTACATCTACACTCCCGGGCACATAAATCGAGCTAGCTTGCATTTTCAGTATTAAATGCAGCTTAAAAATGTTTGATTAATAAATAAGCTATTATGCAATTTTGAAACTGGTATACCTACTAAACGTAATTTTTAACATGTCCTTATTGAAAATTTGTAAAACTGTATTCTAAAGCATAAGTGTGTCGAATTATGTGTCTGGAAGTGTAAATCTCAGTCTTGAAACTCTTGCAAACACATAAAGTCTCGAACCCAACTACTATATAATATTAATCTGAATTCGCTGAAGACAATCGATTGTCGTCCAGCACAATACTCTCTTTCATTTTCCTAACGTCTTTGAGATAGAAATAAAAAAACAAATTTTTACACTAACATCACAGTTGTACATATGTATATGTATATTAAAAATAATAATATTTTTTTTATGAACAATAGTGACAGACTTAACTTTAATACGAGGAATAAAAATAAACTGGCTGTTTTTGACAGGCGGCTTCACGTAGTCATATAAAATCATATAAGGGGCAATGTATACGTATCATTATACAACGATATGTCGGATGATATTTAAAATATGCCATCTTCGAAGTTTAAAACTACAGTGAAACAAAAACTTTATAAGTACTAATGATTACAGCTTCGGCGTACTTGGATGACAGAAATCCTTTGTAATGACCCGTTCAGCTTTTGCTTCGATATTTGAAATAAATATTGTAAATGATAAATTTGTACAAATGTTTATTTACAAAGAGCAACCGCTAGAGTTTTTTTCGAATGAGTAGTAGATTTTAAGCAATGTGATGATTTCAAGAGTAAAATCTTTACTTATGAAATAAAGATATATTTAATTAAGTTCGAGTTTAACGTTAAATTGTGTTCTTTATCTTTTTACAAGTTTGTGTCTACAAGTTTACAAGGAACATTAATATGATTTCAACACTACAATATTTTGAATTTCTACAAGCAATACAAACCTGCTGTTAGGCAATAAGCCGTGTGCATTGAAGTCTCCCGTGGAATTCCATCGCTTGGTCAAGTTGTTGCCGCCAGGTGATACGCTTTGGTTGCTCGATGTCGAATTATTGCGCGATCTATGTAGAAAACGCGATATAGCCAACTACAAAGCTTATATTAGCGTTATACCTACGTTACCAATGCGTTTCCTTGTTTACTATTAGGATCAACCATACTGCACAACAATTGGAGTTGTTGTAAAAGGTAGCAAAGGTGTAGAATACTAGATACGAATATTTTTTTAAATACTATACAGTCTGTGCAGCTCCTCATTACTATGACTGGGAGTTAATATATTGATGATGTTTTATGAACAAAAAATATTTTCACCTCACTGGCTCGGAATGGCTTTCTTTCTCATTAGAAATCTGCGCCGAAAAGCGTTTTTTCCAAACTAGTGGAAACGGTTTTTGAAATTCGAACTTGACGATGGACTGTGGTGCACCTAACTTTTTCTGTCGGTGAAAAAAAAAAAACATAATTACACGTTTAACTACGCGATTTGTCGCACATTATTTACATAATATAAAACCGTTGGTATATTTTATTCTTGTTATTGTTGATATTAAACTGACAATGATAACTAATTTTGTTTATTAAACTGATTTGTTATATAGTTCAATTGTTTTTTTTCCATCTACCATTTTCCTCGCTATAGTGAGGTGAACTGTTGTATGTTTTGTTCTTCAAAGTTGTTTTGAGTCTCGTGGCTTGAAACCCTCGCTACGCTCAGGATTCTATTTTTGACTTCCTTCGCTTGCCCAGGCTTCAATACAAGCATTCGCGTCAAACAACTCACATTGCAGCCTTACACAAGTAACTATTTTTGATTTTTTTTCTATTCTACTAACTACTAATCGCATGGTGTAATAAGGCCACATTTGCAAAATTACAAAATTTGATGAGAGAGGTTTAAAGGTTTTACTAACGAAATTTGTCAAATAGGAGAATTATAACATTTATACATAACTTGTTTCATGTAGTTTTATGACTTTCATGAGGTGAAAGCACTTTTGACATACGATACGATGTGGCTTTATTATGATTAGGGTACGTTATATGCATTTTTCTTCGTTCTTTGACCAAGAGCGAGAGTCAATGAATTGTTCATGTGTTAAAAAAGTACGTCGAAAATTACATGGCTCACGCCCAGGTGTCGTGAATCCTGATACCGAACGAACTGCCTAAGGAAACATTATCTAAATCTTCCTATATATATCGAGTTCTTAGGTTCTTCCTATATAATCAGCCGATTGAACAATTTCAAATTCTTAACATTCAAATTTTCAACAATTTGTTGCGAACTGGATATAAAGATGTTTGGTAACGTTAACGGTAGTATCCTTATGAAATTTCGAGGCACTTTTAAAAAAATCTTGTATTAGAAGAAGTATTATTACCTGGTCCAAAAATTATAGCAGCGCAAAGATGGTGATACTCGCTAGGATATACTACTATGATAGCCTTAGTAGCAGCTTAACTACAGTGCTTTATAAGTAAAATACCTTTCTATACATCAATACCATTACATAAACGTAAATAAAAGGAAAAGATAGGAAAAAAAGAATTCTTTTTTCATATAATACTTGAGATAGATCATCATTCAACAAAATCTATCGCAGAGTATGCGATTGTACGAACCAGACGTAGGCTGGTGTTCCAACCCTAAGTTGTGGATATTTCAAGGATTCGCACGAAGTGTTATACACTTCTACATTTATATGGCGAACGGCTACGGAGTGGAATTACCTATCTACAGAGTTATTACCTGAACGCAAGCTTGTGAGAGTGAATAGGCATTATTAGTTGTGAATGCTCCATTGTCGAACTCATAGTCGTGAGAAGTTTGTCACTCTTATTTAAAAACGAAAATTTGAATTCTATAAGGTGCATTGTCTATCAAAGCGGAATGGAGAAGACTATGTGTTTCAGCAACCAATAGGATTGAGTCATGTTAAACTACCTAATTGGCGAGATATCGAGATTATGGAATACTATTGGTTACTTAAACAATCTTTTCTGATAATTGGTAGAATCTGCCGTCAAATTACTGTGTCGTCATTATTTTGCAGCTTCGATGCAATCGGAGCCCTAAATCTTCAATGGCAGGATTTTGTACGTTTGATATTCTGCTAAATATTAGCGTAGTGGTTAGTCACCGAGCTACAATTCAACTGCCATTGACGTTTTTGGTATCCTGCTTTTCAACGGTGGGACGATGCCACGTCGATGGTGTAGGTAGTCTACTAATATTATATAATATTTAATTTGAATACTAAATTGTTGATTAAATGATATACAAATTAAGATATACATAGTAATTTCCATGGTAAGTTTAGTAACATCGATCATTAGTGATTAAATGAATGAGAATGCCCTCGTTGCCGTTCCACTGACACTGTATTGAGACTCAACTACCACTGCAACTAGACTTTAGAAGAATAACAAATATTTAGGAATTACAGTGACCAATGGTTGCAAGAAAATTAGCCTTGTTATTTTGTAAACCCGATGCAATCGAAATGCAGCTCGTGTGACCACACATAGTTTTTTGCACAGATTCACCAATTTATTTGTAATATGACAATAAAATAAAAGCAACTATCGCTTCAACGATGAAAAACTTCAAATGAAACAAGAAACATTTCAAAGACGCTAGCTTCACAACTCATAGGAGATGGGTTAGTCGATCTTTACCTTTGGGTCAATCGGAATTACGTTATCTCTCGATAGAGGGTCACCCTCCAACAATTTGGATTTAAATTAATAGTAGATTGTACATACAGATTGGCTAATAGCAATTGCTTATGTAGCGATTTCGACTATATATTTGAATAGGTATATTTGCACAAAAATAGCCTCCATTTTACTGCATATTGTATATGTATAATATAAACAATACCGAATACTTTTAGAACCTAACCAGTAAATTAAAAGTACTCAATTAATGTGCCCTTGAAAACAGAAAGGTACTATTATTGTAAAAAGTTTTTGTAAAAACAAATGGCGCCTCTAGCCGAAATATATTCATGATTGTACCCTAAACCCTGGCTGCATATTTCATAATTTCGAATAACAATTATTTGATCCCATGTCTTTTACCTTGTACTTGGTTAGGTGTTTATACCCATGCTCTTGTTTGAAATACAAATGTATTCTTCGTATAGGCAAGAAAGCGCGCCACCTTTAAATTATATAATGTACACTGTATGCATGGTTGCTTGCGCCGGTGTACGTTGAGATGAGACGAGCGAAACGTTTGATTTATTTCTTATCTTCTTCATCTTAGTACGTCGTCGATGGTTTATTCAGAAATCTTGTCTTAGTTCCGTAGCCGATGACGGCGAAAATTACGTCAAGGGGGCGACGTATTGATTATTTATTATTTTTAACCGACTTCAAAAAAGGAGGAGGTTCTCAATTCGACTGTATGTTCTTTTTTTTTGTATGTATGTTACGCGATAACTCCGGTATTTGTGACAGATTTTCATAATTCTTTTTTGTTGGAAAGGGGGTACTTCCATAGTGGTCCTGTTTCATTTTGAAGAAAATCATCCACCTCGAAGGGTTCACGCATAAAGATTCATTTTCATAAATAGCGCCTAACATTAATTTAGGAGCAATTACTTTAATGGTTGATTTTGCTATTTCCCGTCAAGGCGTTTTTCTCTCAATATACTTTGAGTAGTGAGAACCGATTTTTATTATCTCCAGTGTCAAGTCCTGTATAGTGGCGAACTAGGGGATATTACAATAAAACTTAGCAAATAGACGTAACTCCACGTACTTTTGAGGTCGGTTTGTTTAGTCCTCTGTACTGAGATTATGGATTTTAAGTATATCCTGCCATCTCCACTGTGAAAGAAGATTTGCTACCTAGTAATAAGGTCGCCCGCTGTAACCTGACATTTGTTTTATCTCTGCATGCAATAAAAAGTGTATTTGTATTGCATTATGTCTAAATGCTATCGGATCTGAATGCCCCATTTTTAGTAGGATGGACGTAGAAGTCTTCATGAGACGCATCCGGAACAATCTGCGATTTAGCACGTAATTCTTTCACCATGCCAATGCGAATGGCGAACATATTGCATATATTTCTTGCAAGAAATTCTTAATATACGTATAACCAGGCAAAGGGACTCGGGTTCTTTATTATGACCTGTAAGGCTGCGCCGTATGAGGAGTGTGGTGCGGCGCAGGTGTGGCACGGGGAGAAGGAGAGGGCGCGGGGGACAGCGACGATGACGACGCGGGCGAATCCGACTGGAGCGAGCCTGTTGATTGATGTTGAACGCCGCGTCTGGAAGAGAACATTGGTTGCTTGATAATGACGTGTAACAACGTAACAACAACTTTTAAGTGGTATTTTCACTGATAAAACTACCAACATTACCGTCTATGTAAAAGTAACACTTCCATTGTAGTAGGTATAGGCAATAGATCTCTTTAAGAAGTATATAATTTAATCTTATGCGGATACCAGCCCGTTGCACCAAGTACCAAGTTACTTAATCGTGTAACTTAGTAGAGAGGTACCAGTAAAACTGTTATTTAACACACAAACAGACGCGGCTGTATCTTCCTAGTGCACTCTATTGGTAAAAATAAGTACTTAGTGGCCAGCGCTTGACCAAAAATTATGATGATTGCAAATGAAGTGACTGAGTCAACCACAGAACAATGAATAAAGTAGATGTACTTATTATGCGTGGTACGTGTGCCAACAGTACGCGAAATTCCATATACATAAGTTCAGTCCGCCATTTTAGCTTTGTATGTTATGGTCGTTTCAATTATCTCGCGCAAAACTTCGAAAATTGAAGAAAAATGCCTTATTTTGCTACTTTGGAGTGCAAAAATGATAGTCGCACTTATAATATTACCTAATATCTAAGTGTTTCAAATCATCGTTAAGTCTTATTTTGTTTAATTTTAATAAATTTTCAATTTTCTGTTTATCGTAATATTTATTTTGTTACAAGAAACGAAAGTAAATTTTTATATCGCTGCAATATGGTCGCTTATGTTTTAGAGAACTAAGTAAACATCTCGAATTAGTCATCGTTCAGCTATTAACCGCTTGATGGCAGCACACTGATTGAATTCAATGTGAAATCAAAACGTCGTCACTTGCAATAATATGTATTGAGCTATCAAGGGCATGCCAACAGGGTCAAGTTTAAAATATTAATAGTCCAGAATTTGTTATTTATTTTAAATAAAATTAAAAACTGCGACCAATCATTATCAAGATTTCAGTGTTTTAAATTATAAATGTAGTTTTGGCGATAGCAGATTTGATAGTAATCGAGGCAGACATTCCATTCCAATGTTTTTTTTCTTCCGCAGAATCAACCGTGACCATAGGCCTTGTGTAGGGCCTGAAACGTTGGTTTGTTTGAAGAAACATATATAATGCAATTGCCACACAGAGGCGGTAGAGGGAGCGTTCTGAGCCCGGGAATTTTTAAAATAATCTAGTTCTTATGCACCCTGTTACATTGAAACCGGCTGTGGCGGATGGCGCCGAACGCTATGACAAACAGGCGGACCAGGGATTGCTGTGTCGCACGCTCCGTTCGTTGTGTGGCCTGACTTTAGTTAAGCGATTTGGATCCGAAAAATAGTTACATTTCCAAGATGTAACAATTGCCAAAACCTAAAGAGTCCATTTGGATGACATAATTTAAATTTTTGAATGTGGAAGCTGTGCGAATAAATAAGATACTTTAATGATCATCCATAACGTACCTTGCTTATTTTAATGCATAAATGTCCAAACAGTCACCTTATTCCGTTACATGTGAACATAAAGCCGCAACCTGACCGACGTCATATTATCCATATTTAGGTGTGCCCATATGCTTCGGCGATAGGTCTAGGCCTTCACTGGTTCACCTTGGCGAAATGCCTCGCTTTTACGGTAATGTGCTTTTTATTTGTCGCTTTATTTACTGCCTACATTTTTAACTGCCTCTGTGGCCGAACGGTTACTATGCAGTTCTGTCACGCAGAGGTCCCGGTTTCGATTCTCGGGCCAAGAGAAATATTTGTATGACTTAAAGTTATTTCTCTTGTGAGTTTGGGTGTAGTTTGTGGTTGTCTGTGTGTCCATGGCATTCGCGACACAGGGTTTCCCTAGTGTGGGGCTACGAGTGAGTGCTTTATTATTATTGTTATTAACTGGGATTCCGCATTCAAAGCACAAAAACTTTGTTAAGTGTCGTGTTTAAAGCGCTTGTTAACGGTAACAAAGTAATAAATAATTTATCGTTGGATGAAATATGTGTGCCATTTATTCGGTCGTAAATACCTGTCCCAAAGATTACGATAGGTGACAGATACAACCAGGATATGAGCAGTGTTTCCTTGTATATAAGATTTAAGTTTGATTGTGATCATCAACTCGCCAAGCGCGGCGATGGAGTAATGTCCTCCCATATTTGAGAGGATTAATATAGGCTAACGGATTGTGATAGGTTTTTATTACCAGTATCATTTATCATCATATTATATTTCAACCATAAGGAGTATCTCACACGGTGCCGTGACAAGAAGTTTTAATATTTGAGAATCTTCACTTTGTCCCGCCGTGTGAGTTGTCACTTTTGTGAATCTTGCTTCATGGTAAAAAATAGTAATGCGAAGAAGCGAAAGAGATATTTCAGGATGGTAACATTGAGATCTATCTCTATAGTGCGTTAAGAAGGTACGATATGACGTAATCATAAATGTAGTATATTCACCTCTGTGGCAATGAAGATGCGCTAGAACCGTAACTGGAGGTTCTCTTGGCGGTCTCTCTGTACGAGGGCTGGCGCAGCCTTAGCTCTCGCGTTGGAGTGCCTTGTGAACCTGAAAATTAACAAAAATAAACTTTCATTATTTTTACACAATTGTAAGGAATTGTCTATGCTAACTATGGCTAACACTCGTTACCTGTCGGATTATTATGACTTTGTGTTTTTTTTATGATTCTAAGTGACGGTACGACCAAGTAACGGAAGCGCCTGTTCATAGCAGTTGCAGTATTATTCAAGAGCTTTAAATAGCAAAGATTTGAGCGGCATTGCGACTGGTCCTGTCACCCTGAGACATACATTATGTTGACATATTATATGCCTGTGATTTCTCTAACAAATTATCTTTCAAAACTGGAAAGGCATAATGGTCACATGTCTGTTTGGCGGCAGAAATAGGCAAGGAGGCAGTACTTCCATGGACGAACTCTTTCACAAGGTACTCTAATACTACTAAAAAGTGTTCATTCATTGTAGATCTCTCGTTTCGAATAATCGCTTCAAGGGTGTGTGAAAAACGGTATGTATCTGTTTTATGAAAAACGTTGTGAAAAAAACCAACACCGAGATTCACAAGTATAATTGATTACTCGTCTTAATAAATACTCTCTCTTACGTCACGTACACAAGGTCGTGCTTCCCGCGAGTGCACTTGTATAAGTGTAGTAATGTACTTGCGCCAGTTTATTCTCGGTTATACTCAGCCGTGTTGCCGGGTCTTTAGCGACTCCGGTTTCCGAAGTAAATTAATACATAAAACTGTTACGTTTATAATTGGACAATTTATAATGTAATCCTTATAATTCTCATTCATATCTTCTAAAAATTTAATTAGTGAAAGTACACGCAATAAGAGTGGAGAAAGTACATTATAATTTGTAGTAATCGGTTGCCGCGAGCAATAAATTGCACACTGTAACAGCTTGCTAAGTGTTCGCGTGGGAAGAGAAACATAGGGCACATGATTCAACTAGATGTGGACGCGGTCTAATCAAATGTCATAATGAGAATAATTTCTGATGAGATAAAAATCAATGCATATTGGAAACTTCTCGTTTATACAGACTTTTCAATAGAAATGTGGCATGCATACTATTACAGGTTATTTATGGACTCTACAGCTGGCACTGAGCAATATAAATTTATCTAGTTATTTGATTGAAAATCATGACGTCCAATAAAGAAGTAGTGCTATTAAGATAACGACATCTGTTGTCAGTTTCTGGTAGAGACTCTAAAGAAACTTTCGTTTCGAAGTTTCTCACAGGTGGCGCTACGGCAAAAAGGCCATTTAAACCCAATACAACCTCCGCGATCGTGCGACTCGCACACCGGATTTTCATGGTGTCACCATCTCTGAGCCGGTAATCTCTGGCCTGGTCAGTGTGGAAAAATCTAACTTATGTATATTGTTTAGGGTCTAGGTGTTCGTGGTACCGTCGTCGTTTCCGATTTCCATAACACATGCGCTTTTATTACTTACTTGGGGATCAGAGCAACGTATGTGATGTTGTCTAATATTTATTATTTATTTGTTTATTTATTTATAATACAAATATCTGCAACAGGCGCAGAGAAATACGTAAGATCTGCTGACTCGGTTTGTAGCTCAGTTGGTAAGAACGGTAGCCACGATGAAGCAACAGGCGCTAGTTTGAGTCCAGATCAAAGGAAATTTATCTTTGTATTTGTTCAATCTTTGTATCAGTAATAATAATTATGTCTAGTTATAAATAAGTTTTTGTTTTCGATTCATGAAAGTGTGGCATACATTTTTGCAAGACAAGCTTTCGATCTAAATGTCAGTGACGCCACGGCAGAGCAGCATTATCACTGACGCAACGCAGTATCGTTGCACTCTGTGGTCTCTGTACATTTTAATAGTGCATCAAGGCGTTGTCATTTTTATCATTGACTATACTTTTACTAATATATTAATTCAAAATATATGACTTACCACCATAAGCTCCGTTTCTCTGCCCGCTCGTGGCTGTTGGAGCCCTGCCCTCGAGGGCGTTGAGCCTCCTCAGCGCATCAGCGAGAGTCGACCGCAGGCAAAGTAGGTCTTCCGCCTGACGAGCACAGCGTACCTCCAACTCAGCGACCCGTACCGCTAATCCGGCGCCCTCGCCTTCTAGCATCTCATCTGGAATAGTAGAATAAAGCTTTGTAAGATATTGTGTATTTATTTTTTTTTGAGAGCGCCATGTTCGTAGTTTCTTTAAAGGACAAGATACAAAACGAGATTATCCGAGAGGAAAGGGGCGAGAAGAGGGGAAGAGGGCGTCGACACAGCTGGTAGAATAAGCAAGCTGAAGTGGCAGTGGGCTGGCTATATATGCCACTATAAGAACGATGACGACGATAAGCGATGGGGAAGGGTGTCCTTGAGTGGAGAACACGGCTCGGCAAACGTAGTGTAGGACGTCCTCTGGCCTGATGAGGTGCGACAAGCTGAGGACCGGGTGAAATGGCTCGCACTGGGAGACGACTATGTCCAGCAGTGAACTGCGATAGGCTGATGCTCAGCGCCATGGATATATTCATATATTCCGTCTAAGTACTTTCGCCGGGAGGAACAAAGCAATCATTAACGAAAACAACAGAAAATGCCTACCACCTTCAATCGCTTTCTGTACTGTACTGTAACCATATAAGTGTCGTATGTCCGCTTAAGAAATCATAATCATAAATCACGATGTTTCAAACTTATGACCAAAACAATTGTCTAAAACCTCAATATGTTTTCTATTCATATGAGATTAACATTTTAAGCCTTATTGTAAAAACAGCAAGAACTACCTAATAATGACACTCATAGTTTTCGCAAACGAAAATGTAAGATTGTTGTCTACCACGTTACGTTAATTCATAGTATAAAGTTGGTAGGTGACAAAGCGATGGCCAGCTATTGTGATTCAGACAGTAGTAAAGTTGATATTTAAGAAAGACGCCACACGTGAGCTATGGAACTGTGTATTCAAGGTACTTAAATGTGATGAAGTGTAGGGTAACGTTTATGTTTTTTGAAAAAGAATAATGAATCTAGAAGAATCTAGAAGACTAGAGTTGACACAAAATATGTCATCAACAAAAACTCGAAGGATATTTTCGCTAAAAATGATTTGGTAGTAGTAAAAGTTTTCGTCCTTCGCGACAGGCTAAGGCATCTAAGTGGCCGTACTGCCAGATCTTAGGGTCGTATTGTAGAACTCTATTCAATGCTCAAGTCAGGATTGCACTGGCAACACAAGCACTGGAAATACGACCCTAATGGCAGGGACTTGAGTATGATATCAAGTGCTTTAAATCATACTCAAATCCTAACTTGAGCATTGAGTAGAGTTCTAGAATACGACCCTTAGATTGTTATTTTTAACCGACTTCAAAAAAGTAGGAGGTTCTCAATTCGACTGTATGTTCTTTTTATTTTTTCCTTTTTTTTGTATGTATGTTACGCGATAACTCCGGTATTTGTGAACCGATTTTCATGAATCTTTTTTGTTGGAAAGGGGGTATTTCCATAGTGGTCCCATTTCATTTTGAAGTTAATCATCCACCTCAAAGGGTGGCTGTTCACGCATGAAGATTCATTTTTATAAATAGCGCCTATCTTTAATTTAGGAGCAATTACTTTTAGCAATTATTTAGTTGATTTTGCTATTTCTCCAATTCAAGGCGTTTTTCTCTCGATATACTTAGAGTAGTGTCGTAGTGAGAACCTATTTTTATTATCTCCAGTATCAAGTCCTGTATAGTGGCGAACTAGGGAATATTTCAATGAAACTTAGCAAATAGACGTAATTCCACGTAGTTTTAAGGTCGGTTTTTTAGTACTCTGTACTGAGATTATTCTTCAATAGTTTAATTTTCTGACATTTCTTCGCGGGAAAAAACAAAAACGATTTAGTTTACACATTTTTTGAGATTGACATTTAACAGGTTTTGGATTCGTCTCAGATACAAACCCATGGCACGTCATTGCTAACAATCATATATAAATACCACTTCGCTTGATAAACAATCCTGGTTGAAATATTATTTTATTTAGATAAAGGCTTCATTAACTGAAATATTTTTTCCATTTGTTGCCAGTATTCAATACCCTTAAGCCAATAGCCTGAAATTTTGTGCGTCCATTTTTTTAAATTAGACAATACAATAAAATTTAAACTGCCTCTGTGGCCGAACGGTTACCAAGCCGGACTGCCACGCAGAGGTCCCAGGTTCGATTCCCGGGCCGGGAGAAATATTTGTATGGTCTACATTTATTTGTCTTGTGAGTTTGGGTGTAATTTGTGGTTGTCTATGTGTGTGTCCATGGCACCCGCGACACAGGGTTTCCCTAGTGAGAGGCTATGTTGAGTGAGAGTGATCATTCATTTCTAATCTATTAACGGGAGATCTAGAAGAAAACATCCTAGACTATCCGAAGGTGAGCAGGTAAATTAACGATTATAATTTTATTTATTTGATTTACATTAATCCAGTAGGTAGCTGGATCCTGCGTCTCTGGATTAATGTAAACACGTTTCAATCCAATACAGTGTCCAGTATCCAACGCTGTATTGGAATAGAGCACGTTCCTATTTATCTAGTCCGTGCCAGCACGGGCGGCATTCTCTTTCCTACGGCGAGTTTTGGCGCAAGTGTGCGCGGCCAGGGAAGCCAGCATAACGGCGTGATTCAGTGCCGATACCCACCCAGCTCTGAATCCAGGTACTGGACTCTTGTCTCAACTCAACCTTAAGAATATACTCGGGTACGATTTTAGAAATATTTATGAATTTACACGCGCGCAGAAGACGCTCCTAGGCAACTACACACACTTTGAAATCAAAGAAAATTAATGATGATGATTTTAACATATGTCTGCAATAAAATAAACAATGCAAAATAAATAACTCACATATTATGAATCCGCGACAAGCACAAGGCGCCTCTTTGACGGAACATGATCAAGAAGTCAAATACACCAATGAAGTAAGCACATTTTTTCAATGTACGAACAAGCCATCGTTTACCTATATTGCACATTGCGTCACAATAACAGACTGATTGAATTATAATAATGTTTATTTGCTGTTCAGAAACTTAACATAAAACGGTAAATGTATATGTGATTTATTTTAGGAATAGTCACGGTAACTTTGTTAACTTCGCACTCAGAGTTTTAGAAATGTATTCAATAAAACGTCATCGGTTTCCAATAAACTTGTTTATAAGCAAAAACACAGAATTTAATAAAAAATATTATAAACACGAAAGAATGTTTAAAAACTGCAAGTAAGCAGATTAATCGCTATTAAATGTCGATAAATGTAATATAGGTTTTTGTTCGTTATCCAAAAGAAAAACGTATAAACAACAGGTCAAGCGACGTGAGAATGCCATGAAACGAGGTGTACGTTGCCACAGCATTGTACAGAGAACAATATATAAAGTACACATGAACGTATTCTACAAACTATGTTTACACGGAGAACTATAATGAAAATCGAGAAAATTAATGATTTTGAGGAAATTAATTTTTACGGCTACGGTTATGCTCCGAGATTTGGTAATATTTTTTTATAATTCATCAATTGGTTATGGACTGCACCGATAGTTTTTTTTAAATGAAGTTTAAGGCTATGGAATATAGGAATACGCCAATATCTAGTTTGGAATGATCTCGGCACTGGACTGTGTGGTAAGAGGCGATTTATTTAGACCAAAAAAAAGAAAACGACGCCGACGTAGGCAGTTAATCAAGAAAATAAAAGAAAAGATTAGGTGCGAGAAAAAGTTTAACATTTATCCAGATACATCAAATGTAATTTATTTACTCAAAACGTGGTGAACGGGAGGTGGAAGTACAGGTGCTAATAGAGCTCATAATTGAATAGATCTGCCATGCAAAAATTTACTTGAAATTAATTAAATCATAAATAATTCCAATAGGTGTTCACGTCCCTGTATAAAGATCCAAACAATTGTAACACTTTGAGGGGAAATTAGGCATACTAGGCAGCTTCTTTACGAAACACTTTTGTTGGCTAAAGTTTTCAATTCTCCTTGATGGATGTCCATGGGAACAGTTGTACACTTGTACTCTCTTATGCTCATGCGTATTTAGGCATTCTAGACGCTCCAAACACTTTCTTTCCTTATTAAAACACTGTGAATGTAGCATAAATTTCAGACAATTAGAAATAGAAATTTCGACAACTGAAACGCGATGTTCCGTTTTTGCCGTGGTTAAATTTTCCCTATGTTCTAAGTGTCTATAAATTCAAATTTTATTCATGCTGTGAATCTTATTGTTCACAGGGCTTTTTTACTCTATTTCGTAATTCAGCGTCAAGTCCAGGGACTTCTTACAAAGTTCCGGCTGTAACCGTGTACCTACAGTGTAATGTGGTAAATTCTTTTAAAACTTTAACAAAAAATAAAGACTAATTTCTGCGTTAAAAAGAAACCAAAGTCAAAAGTATACCTAGTTATTATAAAAGCAGGTAAAGCATTTAGATTTAGCAATAAACAGTGCAAAAAGTGTATTTGTGATTTCATTCGAACACTTCTTGGGATTGACGGGAGAGGTACCTGGCGCCTAGTTATACTCGTATAAATACAAGGTATTGCTCTCACTCTGGGCCGAAGACTACCAACGCCCGTCTAACGAGTCACACCGGACTACTACTGCTGTGGTCCCTCAGACCACCACCCAGCCGATACAACGCAATCAGTCAATGAATAATAATAACAAAAAGTAATGTAATAATTATTAGTGCTGCGACGAATCAAACAAACTGGTTTGTTTGAAAAACGCGATTTAAATCTGGAAAAATAGTTTCATTTCCTGTAAGTTACGTTTCTCGAACTTACAATGTACGTTCAGCATTTATAGTTACGTGGATATTTACTCTATTTATTCTTATTTCTTCCTAATTTTTCGCAAAACCAGGCCAAACAGACCAAATACCGGATAGAAACCGAATATGTTGCGAATATGTGTTGCAACTCTTATAATTATTAATATCAAACATCTAATAAAAAAACAAGTACAAAATTAGTTCACATTAGAAAGAACCAAATACTTACGCCAAGCAGCATAAACATCGTTCATTGTATCTCCAGGAGAATCGCTAGCCCTGGAACTCCTGG